CTATTCGGTACACAAACAATTTCAGGGGTCACATATTGTTATTGTATTCTTTAAGGTGATATTATACATAATTTGTCATTGATTAGCTCTACTTCTCAATAATCCTCACTAATTTTCTTTACATTAGGCTTAAAATCAAAAGAATTTTTATTGTTCCATCTTCCAAATTATCTTAAATCAAACTGTAAACACTTTCCTACCTTCCTACTCCCATTTCATTCAAGGTATTTCGGATGCAAATATGTATCAGATATAGCTGTTGCTTTTAATGAAAAAATTGATTGAAATTGGTGAGTATAATTGCAATAGTAAGAAACCCAACAAAATTAATGAATATAACAACCAGTTAAAATGTTTCTACACTTTATAAAAGATATGCTTCATCTAATAATTGCAAGAAAATAGCAAATGAAAATGGACGAAACGGAAACTATATGACAGAACAGTTATTGACAATTATTTGTAAATATCATAAAATTAGTACCTGCTTGTTTATTTTTATTTTCTAGTTTTGTTTTAAATGAAAAATTTACACAATCGGTTCTAATTGCCTATCAAGGCATCTCGATTTTTCCATTCAACTATTCAGAGAATCTGATAGTACGTTAATTTTCAGAACATAAGATCAAAAAGAACAAACTTGCAGCAACTGCTAGCAAAGGAGGCAATGATGCTGAGAAACAGTAACCCAATCCTAAAAAATTATACATTATCTTACAAATAACATTCGCTCCAAAAAAACACGTAAAATTAAAAAACATATTGAACAACTTCGGTCCACTTCAATTTGATTAAAAAAAAAAATTGAATAACTATCATATATTATGCTGTTTTAAATAAAAAATAAATTCCATGCAAAAACAGAGAGAGAGAGAAGAAGAAGGAGAGAGGGAAAAGGAGACGGAGAGGATAAAAATGATATGCGATAAAACTATGTGAGACACCGCACATTATAAATGATATTAATCCCATCAAAAGCTACAAAATCAGTCCCAAGTTTTTTGAATATGTATTCTGAATACATCTCAGAGTAATAACGCATCCAGTTATGTGATATCAGCAAACCAAATAAATCTGAACAAAAGAAAAAACTGAAATTAAAAAGCTTGGAAAAGCAAAAGTACAGAATTTGTCTCGAAGTTAAATACAAAAAAAAGGAGCGGTCATAAAACTCTACTTTAATTAATCATATAAATAAATGCAAAAAAATAACTAAAATGATAAAACAAATGAATCAGCTATTTAAGTGAACAAATAATAAATTAATGTGTAGCTCTATTTTAGGCAAATAAATGATTAAATAAATTAAAGTATGGAATGGATAAATAATACAATACTCATTGTTTAATCATTTGTTTTTTTTTATAAAGCATGAAGAAGAAACTAATGATGATTCACGGAAAACGAATTTATTACTGCTACATTCGGCAAACACCATGTCAGACGTCAAAACAATTTTCACTCAAAAATAAAACGGCATAAATTCTGGGATTGAGTATGAAAAAACTAAAAATTTCAAACTTTAATCCATATTGACTTACCGCATAAACGTTGATGATAGACCACAAATGTTCTTCCAGCACAAAAACCACCAGTACTTGAAAGTGCATGCTCTAAAGAGCCAACAATCATATCACAATCAGCTACATCGATGCCAAAATATTCCGTTACACCTGGAAATACAATAGCAACTTCTAACTGAAATTACTAATAAATAAATGATGAATAAAGCAGCAAATATAGATTTATCAAACTTTAATAATTATATGATTAATACAAATAGTGACCGATGTGAATAAGCAGATTGAGACATTAAAGATCTAAATCAACGACTTTCTGATATAATCACGGCAACTATTTTCAAGAACTTTGAGCACATGTTCAACGATTATCAATTTGAGCACATGTATATTCATCAATAAAAATTAACAGGACTAAATCTATTATACTTCATAAATTTTGACTTTTCCACTTTAATAACTTAAAAGCATATAATCTTAATTACATTTAAAAATCCTTTTCTGAAAAATCTCAAACAAATTCCAAGTTATAGTGCAAATAATTGCAGTATAACTTGGAATTTGAAATATATTTCATTAAATTGACCAATTTATCAGGTAATATATGTCATTGATAACCTTTTGTTTATTCAGTTGTAGAAAAATGTTATTAATTTATTATTCATCAAATAAAATCCTTTGATTCATAATTATCCATTTAAAGACTTCATCTAGATTATTTGATTTTGGTTTTAGTTTAAATCACATGTTATAGAGGAATGGTAAAGGATTTTATTTGATGAATAATAAATTAATAACATTTTTCTACAACTGAATAAACAAAAGGTTATCAATGACATATATTACCTGATAAATTGGTCAATTTAATGAAATATATTTCAAGTGAAGGAATAACGATAAGCATTTCAATTTTACTAAAAAAATTAAAATTTATTAAAATAATTTTTAAATATGATATTAAAATACGAAAATTCGTTCCTACTTAATTCGAAAAATCATTGCATATATTGTCCTAGCAAGGTATAAAATTTTGTCCATCACTTAATTTCTCCCATTTCCCAGTTATAGGTATCTATTTCGTTTCTCTTTACTAAATTTTCATGATTTCATATTTTTCCTCAAGATATTTATGAATGTTTGCATCAACTTATATCAAAAATAATTTCATATTCTTGAGAGAAATAATCCGACAATAATGTAATATTTCTTGAAATGATAAACAAAATTATATCTATATGAAATAATGAATAATCTATACAAATACTGAGAACAATAGATAATTGCTTCTATAACATTCAACTAAACTTCTCTTTTCTTCTTCCTAAAACAAACTATCCAAATGTTACTGATCAATAACTGCTAGGCCAGTAGTATATACAGTAATGTAAACATGTAGAATAATTCCAAGAACAATCAGATTACTAATGATTCGATAATCAAAACAAAAATGTTTGGTAATTACTGATAAGCTTTAAGAACTGATAAACATAAATAAAAAATAAAATCTGTAATCAATTTAAATAGAACACTTTTGTACAAAATTGTTTACCAAATTTTATTTGCGAAAATAAAAACACAAATTGCTGAGAAGTAATTAATTTTTTGGCAACTTGAAAAACCTTACATATCTTCGAAACTTTTAGTATTGATATTTAGCTTTAAATTAATTATTCATGAATTTTCTTCTAATGTGCTCAATGATTATTTTATTAACTGACATGATTAGTTTGCCTCATTTGTCTCTTTTTAACAATTAATAGTCTTAACGATACGTGTAGTTCATTGTCCGTAACACGTAGTATTTTTTTCTTTATTATCTAAAAACAAAATGACTTAGACATATTATAAAGTTCTATTAACATCATTGATTTATTTATTAAAAAGTAGCATTGTGAAATATGTAATGGGATATGAAATGAAAAATGATATATATCAATGCTAAAATCATAAAACTATTGCATATCACCCGAGTTTAAGCTTTATTTTTTTCTTATAACAACAGACTTGCTGGATGACAGATGATAATTGTTATTATAAGATTATGATTATAGGATTATAGGAATAATGACAGATGATAACTGTTATTATAGGATTAGACTTGCTGAATGATAGATGATAATTGTTATTATAGATACATGGATTATTACAGGATTATATTATAGGATTATCAGGAATATAAAATAATGAAATCGCTCAATCTCTGTCAAAAAAGCTTAGTTTGGCAATTTTTGTATTACTTTTTCGAGTAATTTACTGCACTTACATTATTTTATAATTTGTAATATTGTTATTTCTTCAATTTTCATTCCCATTCTTAATATTATAAATATATTTGCACATTTATGCAATATAGTATATAATTGCATAAAATACACGACATTTTATCAGTCCACATTAATACTATGCTGCTGACAATTTCAAATAAAAATAAACAGATGATAAAGGGGGTGGGAAAGAATACAATGAGTATTTTCATTTAACACATACCGCTCCATTTTAACTTCTTAGCATTTATTTAATTTTTGAAGCCATCACAACTATTATGAAGACTGCAGAAGAACAAAAAAATCTCTATAATAATAGTTGTTTCAGTAATTTCGCTTAGATTCAAAATTAATCTTGGATGAGTTAATTTTAAATTTAGCTAAAGTGCATCTCAAAATCTGTATTTACAGATTTCCCAATTTATTTGTTTAATTTTTACTGCAATTATTGGTTTCACGATGTTACAAAACATTAACAAGTATCAGCGATACAATTGCTAACATGAACCAAATCCAACTCCAATGTTGATTCTCTTTCTTTTTTTCCCCTTCAATCAACAATGTAAATTCCTTTTTTTCATCTTAAAAAACAAAACAAAAAACAAATTCTCTGCTATAACTGTAAGGTTATGACAAAACATTGAACACGTATATCATCGTTTTTTATTACTTTAACTTCATTTTGATCTTATAAAAACAACCGCAACTTACATACTTCATAATTTAAGTTTAAACTACTATGCCTAGTCAAGATATCGTCTTGTTTTTTATGATTATATTATGTCAAAATCTAAAACATAAAATCTCAGGAAAAAGATCATTTTATATTGTTTACTAATATTACCAAAAAAAGCTCTACGAAATTATTTCGTATTCTCTATGAACTTTATTTTGGTCATTTTTTTGTGTCAATTCTTCAAAAAGCTGTTTTATTTCTAGTTTCTGAAGGAGGACTTCATGGAATAATTAGAAATAAACTACAGTGTAAAAATCAAAATAACCTCATGACGACATCATATATCACTATCATCAAATAGTGATAGTCAAAATCATTGATATTTTCATATTAATGAAGTGCTGAGTATAAAGTATTTCATCGTTAATTATGTTTAATTATGCATTCGAATAATCTATTTATCAATCAAAATTTCCACTAAGAATCACGTGATTTTCAAATTCAATGACATGATATTTTTTGAAAATTAATTTAGATCAAATGCATTTACCACTATTCATAATATCTTGCATTTCCTTCATACAATTATTCATCACTGATAGTGAATGTAGCGAAAAATCATTCCGCGATAAATATTATGTTATGAAACGTGTGAAACGGCAAACAAGCAATATCAGAAGGAATGATACGGTAACAACAACAAATATACTTCGCGATCAATTTAAAGTGGCGTTAACAACTGGTGATGATAAGAGAACGAGAAGTGAATCAAAGCAAAAAATCTTCAGTCAAGATGATGTTTTAAGTTCAAGATTTCAAGCTCCAGAATTTGCCTGTAATAGAAATCATTCAAAAGCAGCAGAAATTTATTGTTATGGAGATATTCTGCATGTTGTGATGATGCTAGGTCTCTACAGGGATTCCAAAACATTTGTTGATAAGCCACTGAAAAAAAATCCAGATGAGGTAATCGTCGATTTTCAAAGACGCTTTTCAAATACAATCACAGAAGAAGATCGTGAAGAGGTAGAACAATTCGTTGAGGATAATTTTGGCGTCGAAGGAGAGGAGCTTGATGGGTAAGTTCACTTTTTTTTAAGCTTACTAAACTAACTAAAATAAAGCTTACTTTTTTCATCACACTAACAACGAAGGTTATGCGATCAAAAAAAGAAAAAGAATTTTCTTTCCTCTGTATTTGCAATTTCTTTTCTTTACATTAGAAAATTCCAAGTTGTTAAAATGCACATTTTGTTCAAAGCAAGCGGAACTTTCTACCAGTGAAATATCGATTAGTTTCCAGGTGTGAATTATCGGATTGGAAAGAGAAACCTGAACGATTGCTTACTATCAAAAATAGCGCTTTACGACAGTTTGCACTTCAAATTAATTATCTCTGGAAAAATCTATGCAGAACTGTGAAAAAAAAAGTAAATAACTTTAATAAACTTCATGTGATGATGAAAAAATAATGAATAATGAATGCCGAAGTAATGATGAATTGGTAGTGATCAATTCCGCAAATTTTAAAAATCACTTTAAAATTCTCATAAATCTAATATGTGCTGTTTATGAGACAATAATGAAAATCTTAAAATCTGTTACTCCCTAAATATATAAAAATGCTTTATTGCACTCAATAACGTCTCTTCCAGACATACATAACATCGGTAGATGGAATAATTAGTTATAAATACTTTTTTAGTTAATTATTTTAACGGAATCAACAGTTAACGCAAAATTTTAAAACTCTCATCATTTCGTTCAATCAAATCTACATCTTATGGGAGACCTTTATCAGAATGTATAGCATAAACTTCATTTACGATTCCACAAAGACAAAATCATTTTGTAGGTTAAAGAACAGCCACAGCGATATTCACTGATTTATGTACCGAATGAATTCATTGTGCCGGGTGGACGTTTTCGTGAATACTATTATTGGGATGCTTACTGGATTATCAAAGGACTTCTGGCATCAGATAAGCTGATAATTTTATTAGTAAATAAATAAAATGCTATTAAGATAGTGTACATTGCCTTCAGGCGATCTTAGTTTTAATAATAATTTCTGTATACTAAACTAAAATTTATTACCCCGTATAAAATGCATTTGATATTTGTATTCCATTCTCAGGTATGGAAAACACTACTCGTCAAATGATTGAAAATTTCGCTTATCTTATAAATAATTATGGTTTTATTCCGAATGGCGGACGAATCTATTATTTACACCGATCACAACCACCACTATTTATTCCAATGGTTTACGAGTATTACGCAGCCACAAAGAATGATGATTTCCTGATCTCAGTAGTTGAAGCTATGGAAAAGGCAAATCTAATTCGAAATTAGATTTACAGACATGTAATAATAATTGGAAAGAACGAATGGAACACTAATAAAGATGTGAAAGGCCACATTCATAGATCATCTCTAAAATCAATTTTCGCATTTAATCAAGAAATAACAACTTACCACTCAATAATACACTGAATAAAATAGTAGTTAGTTATTTTACAAAAGAAAATCTAAACATTCCTGAAAAATATGATTCTGCCAACAATTTCAGGAACTATTCTTTTGGAAGACAAAACGTTCAATAACAATAGAAAAAAATGGTCAAAATTATACAGTATTCCGCTATCGAGCTGATAGTAACGTACCAAGGTAAAATATTAACAGTTCCTTTGCATCTTATCACTTATCAGCTTTATTCTGCTTCCGACAAATTATATAATTTAGGAATAATCATTTCTATCAAAATAGACTAATATCTCTTGTTGTTAATTACCACTTACTTACTTTTCATTTCATTACATTACTTATAAACAGACATTATTTTGGGTAATATTATAAAAATATTCATAATATATTTATAGGTATTTCAATATGTAGTCCTTTTTATAACCAACCTAATTTGTAACTTGTTCTAAAAAGATTATAATACTAGAAGTGTCAGAAATCTTTCATTTCATACACAAAACATTTGATAAACAGAGTTCCATCATCAATAGTATCATTTCTAACTACTTTGTCTATTCACGAAATTACACAAGTGTATCAATTAATTTAGTAATTTCGCAAATATAAAATTCTCATCATTCCAGACCGGAATCATATCGTGAGGACTATGTAACAGCTCGGGATGTACTGCCATCAAAAAAGCGTACCCTATGGCGTAATATAGCAAGTACAGCCGAATCAGGATGGGATTTTAGTAGCCGTTGGTTTGCTGATCAAAAAACAATGGAAACCTGCGAAACATCAAACATAGCACCAGTTGATCTGAATGCATTTATGTGCTGGAATATGGCTATACTGGCACATATACATGGTCATCTTGGTTCGTTTTTATAATATTTTAAACTTCAGAAAATTAAACTCGATAAAATTTAGGTATGAATCAAAGGTTGCTTTTTAAAACACAAAACCGAAACATTAAACGCTTATTTCAGAGCATTATCTTGAAGACCAACATTTAAATCTTGAATACAATCAAGTAAAGATTTCTGTGATCATCTCCCATTAATTTTATCAAGTTTAAAGTTCTAAGTCTTTCAAAAATATGTAAAGATTTACAACTTCAAACTTGAGAACTACAGGCAAAAAAAAAGTCAATAAACGTCAAAGCACGTACGACGGAATAAAAACTGTTCAAAAATCATTTATCAAACATTAATTTCAAATATTTTGTAGGAAATATAACACGTCGAAATGAGCTAAACGAAGAACGAAATGTTTTCATAGACGTATTTACTAACGTATTTTATGACAAAACGGAAAAAGCATGGTTTGATGTGAATATACAAACAGGTAAGCGGAACTACGAAGCATATCCTTCCATCGCAATACCATTATTTGCTGAATGTTATCGACCATTGGATACACGAATGATGACTGATGTACTCGATACATTACAACGCAGTGGAATTTTAAACTTTCCTTTTGGAGTTCCTGTTAGGTATGAATAAATTATGATTCCACTTAAAGAAAATTTAATCTTTCTTCCATCATAATCAATCCCCATCTATCAATACCCTATTTGTCATAGCCTTTCTGGAAAAAATTAGTGCACAACTTAGACTATCGAAATGTGAAATGAAGATCAACATCTCAAAAATATCCAGCCAATTGATGATGAAGTAAATTTAATGAAATTAATATCTGAAAATTAAAACTCTTGGTGAAATTTTTAGCTTGATCAAAGAAACAAATCAACAATGGGATTTCCCAAATGGATGGGCAAATTTAAATCACATGATTATCGAAGGATTACGAAAGTCTAATTACTACAGGTACATTACAGACATATTAATGATATTGTAGTTTTTAAGATCTCATAAAGCAGAAAAAAAAAACGTAAAGGTCTCATTTAAGTCGCCATCGTTATACGTTTCAGAGAGTGAAATTACTCATCACCACTGGTTTGTCGTTTCTCATCTTACAGTTAAGAGTGCATATCACGTTATATTGCAATCTTATGATATCATTCATCATATCTTCTCAAACATTTGCCAATTTGTATTGTGACATCTAAACCTATCGTTTCCATCGGTTTACTTAAAATATTTGATGCATCCTTCTATATTTCTATCAAGCCTAATTCTTACTACAGTTAGAAATGTTTACTTGAAGATATTCATTTAAAAATTGTCATAGAATATCATAGGATGCAACAAAAAGCGTTCGATATTGCACAAAAATGGATCAACCTCAATTATCAAGCATACTTGAAAGATGGCAAAATGTGGGAGAAATATGACGTTACCAAGCAGTATGAGAAGAAAACTCAAGGCGGTGAATATGAGATACAGGTTTAAAAAATCTGGTTCCATGAAAAAAAAAAAACTCTTTGAAATACAAGATTATTCTTAGAAAATAAATAATCTTTCATCTAACTTTTTGAAAAATGACAGTGTAATTTTTTATTATTGACAATGTTATTTCTATTATTGAGCAATGAAAATGTAATAAAAAGTAATATTGTTATCAGATATATTTGAAAAACGATCACTAATTTTAATTTACAAGATCGACAAAATCATCATGTATAAATAAATTTTATATAAACCAATTTTTAAGGATGGATTTGGTTGGACGAATGGAGTAGCACTTGATCTTCTGGTTACCTACGGGAAACTATTATCATTTCAAGATGAAGTGAATAGCACTGGTTGTATATAACTACCCTAAAAATATAACTACCCTTAGTCTTGTTTATTAACAATGCTATTTTTACTATTGGATATAAGAATGTAATCTGGTCATGATGACCCTTTGTTGATGTTTTTACGGACAAATTCATATAAAAGTATCACAATACAAACATATATAAAGACAATGTAATGTTTTAAATATCACAGTAATGTTTTAAACACCCTATTTTATATATATACAGTAATATTTTAAATATCCTATTTTATATATACAGTAATATTTTAAATATCCTATTTTAAAATTATTTAAAAATCCGAGAAAGAAGACTTGACATATTTTTCCAGTTTAATCCCGATTTCTGTAAAACTCCATAAAATATAAGCTTGCTGGCATCAAACTTGTTAGCGTTCAAATTTATACCACTGATCCAAAATACATTTTCATATCATTTGTTAATGAGGTTCTTTAATTCAAATATTCCATCCTTATAATCGAGTGAATATATTTGATTCAGATTCTAAGATATTATCTTAGAACGGGTCATAAAACGACATTCGCTCGATCGCCAAGATGTATTGTATATATGTTTTCATATCTTTGCATTTAAGAGTAATTATGTAATCTTAAGTTATATTTTGGCTCTATGTCATGAATTATACTAAATACTAGCATTCATGTTCCTGATAAAGAGTTTTCAAATTTATTTACAACTTGATCTGTATTTGTTGCATGACTGACAGTAGATGTAATAATTGAGAGATTATGACCAAAGGAATTTCTTTAATAAAGAGTTTTCTTGACATTTCGCGAATTTTACTTCATTTGCGAAATTTTGCTCTTTTTTACGCTTATACTATTTCCATCATGCATTTTAGGTAACAAATCAGTCAGAGAAAAACGAAACGGAAAATCTCTTTTCTGTTAAAAATATCTCGCGAACTTGCTATTAGAAAGAAAAGAAGCTGACCTCTTCCTGTTTTGCCAATAACACCAATGGACAATGACTCGTCGATGAAGATGCGTACTTTATATTTCCATTTCAGAGCCATAAGTTCAGGCAGTGGACACAGATCGCCGCTATTCATGTAAAGTCCTTCAACCACCATAAATCGTCTTGTTTTCGATGCTAACTTTGGAAGCTGCAATAAAAAAATGTAAGAATCTTTTGAAAGTGAACAGGGAGTGAAATTGGAAATAAGTGCTACGGCAGTGTAAAAAAAAAAGTTCTGCAAAGTGCTATATACCAATTTCAGCACCTCAACATTAAACTGAATTACGAACTTTATGGTCTCTCTCAGCCTGTTCCATTAATAACCTCTCCAAATCATTGATGTCATTGTGATTGAACCACTCGATACGACTTCTAGACGCTTTAAGTCCTTCTTGTATTGCAAAATTCACTCCTAAATGTCAAAAACAATTCAGTCATTACAATTTAAAATTCAACTACAGTATTCTAGTCTCGTCGAAGTTTGCATTTATTTTAATAAACTTCAACATTCATTTTTAGTCATCCCATCAAAAGAGTTTTGTGAAATAAAGCCATTTAAAACTTATAATGCGAATTTAATTTCAATTTTATATTATGACACATAAAATGTGGAGATTAGAGGAAACAGAACTGTTTATAGTTGAAAAAGTAACCTTTGTCTGCAAAAATAACATCTCCTTTTTTCGCATATGCTGGTATAGCGCTAGAAATAGTTACGAAACCATAACTATAGAGTACCGCTTCCTCACATCCTAAGAAATCGGCAAGTTGTTTTTCCAATGTAAGATGTACATCCACTGTACCATAAAAATGACGTGGTCCACATGAACCAACGCCATATTTCGAAATAGCTTTTTTTGCTTCTTTCTACAAAATAATAAAATTACGGAGCATTTACGGAGATATTCTTCGAGCTCAGCAGCCATTTTTAATTTCATGATGGCAATAATAGTGCTATCTTCCATTCCACCGCAAAGTTGGAATTATCAACTACCTCAATAGTTTGATTTCCGCTCAATCCCAAAAAATTCGTTGTCGCCAAATTCAAATATTCTTTACCATCATAGACGACAAATTTGCTTACTTTTCTACAAATAAGCTGCTATGGTATTACACATAATAGATATGCTCCAATAATAACTAACATAGAATGACAAAACAGCTTGAAATTAATGAAAACACTGGTACAATTATGAATGCATATTTCACTCATAGTTTATATTTGATCGAAAAAAATACCCAACCCATAAAAGTAATGTGTTTGTAGGGCTGAGTGTTCCACAGGAATTTCCGGTACCAACGGCTCCGGTTTCCATTCCTCGATTATTCGCTCTTTCTGCTACAATTTTTAACCATCTGTTACATAATCATAAATTCTTGAAGTGTGAGGAAATCAAAATTTAATACATAGAAGCTTTTTAAACAAAGAAAAGGTTGCCTGTTCAGTTAGCCATGTATGTTTTCGCTTGCGAAATTTCAAAACGATTATACCATAAATTATTATAGACAGTATTATACTTTCGATCATTAACTGTTTGTAACTCTGTAATAAAAAAAAATCAGTCATCATTTGATTATTTCCGAAATTAAGAATACATGACACCAATAATACTACTCAAGTCTTCTTCACGAAATGCAGCAATGGCTTATCTTGATGATCCCAATGATCGTAAGTATCGCAAAGCTACGATCTGCAATAAATGTCGACCGATTTTCGCAGCATGCTAATTAAACTAGGATTATTTCACTGTTGCAGATAAGATATAAAAACTTCCTATACAAAATTACATACAAGTACTGAAACTTATAAATGAAAACAAGCGCAATAAACAAAAATAAGTGCACATGCACACTGCAATACAGCCTAATAATTTCTACTGCAACAAAAACGATTACAACTAATCGATTGAAGCTGGTATGAAACTTACAGAAGTGGAGATATGACTGCTGAGACGATTGCTGAAATGGTGGTTATTACAGCCTTCTTCATGATATGCTGACATCCCTTGAAGTATGCCCCAAATTTGAAAATTCATTAAAATATTGCTAATTACTTTTTACATCAATGTTCTGACCATATCAACGTAGACTACTAGTTTTTTTTTTTGTGTCAAAGCTCCGAACAACATCAACTTTTACTCAACCGTGCCTTGATCCAAAGTAAGGACCAAACACAACTCTGACCGTATTTATTTATCCTCGATATATAATTCAATTCATCCTAAAAACGAAATCGGGGAAATACAGATATTTCCGTCCATTACATAAATTCAATGAACTTAAGCATCTAACACTATGCAGTAAGTATATATCAAGTAGCTAATTTACTTTACAATGAAAGTGTACAGTGAATACATAAAAAACAAAACCTCAAAGTTTTTATAACAATATTTATACAACAAACATATGAAATTAGATATAATATCAAATATCTAACAACAAACTTTGAAAGGAATTTCATTAAGCTTTTTTTCTTTTTTATACATACCTCGTAAATTAAACTGGCATTGTATCGATAAATAACAACGATGCTGCTCGTTTATCATTGATGCAAGACGAATGAAGGATATTTAATTAATCATAAATTCACCTGACCCATCGATTCACCGAATTTGTGTAAAGTAATCACGCTACTAATAAAAAAAATAATTGTGACGTGTCCTTCGAACTTGAAAAATTTTTGTGAATAATGATAAATAATTAAATGTAAAAGACTGATTTTATTGCAGTTTCATATATTTAACTTGCTTTTTTTTAGCCAGTGGAAGCTATAAATCAGTATATTCGTTTTCCCCAATACCACATATTCCAGCAATCGAGCGAAAGGAATTTTCTGATGAAATCAGAAATGCGGTATTTTCAAACTCATTATTTTTTGCCACCAACAATCTTCTGACTTGCAACAAACTGAAAAAAAATACTTAATCGAGAAAAACTAAGATAACATTCTACACCTAATTATTTAGTCCAGATACATCCTTTTGTGATAACTATAAAATTGGAATATCAGCTTAAAAAGCAACTCATATCAGCTTAAGAAGCCATCAAAACTTTCTATGGCAAAATTATACTAACTCATACCTAGGATCGGTAAGAAGTGACTGCAAGCAATCATAACATTCTACTATTTTGGCCATATTCTTCTTGAGAGCATGATAAATATCTGCATTCAATGCCAGCAACAGTAAATTTGATTGCAACTAAAAGAGAGAAAAACCAAACATTTTTTATTTCAAGGAAAAAAAAAAATAAACGTGTTACTTGTTGCTATATTACTGTTATTATATTAGCAACGTTAATAACGAATAACTTCGATAAAAATAAACAATTACAAGTTCCACCTTATGAGAAACAGAATTTTGCTGTCGATTTTATATATTTAACATCACTTATAAAATAACCCTATTATTCCTCTCTTATAAAAGACGTACCAAATGCCCAGTCTGTATATGCTGAAGACAGTGCGAAGCAGCCTGTTCACAAAGCTTTCGAAGCCTACAACTGTGAACTGCCCTACGTATCAGCATTGTTGTTATATATCGTTTTGCACAAATATTCAAACTGTAACGCATCTCTGACTTCAACATGTCCTATAAGAATTTGAGTTTAAGTATTTTTTGAGTTCCCGAAATAAAATAAAATAAAATAAATGATGCACTATGTGAAAAGTATGGAAATGATTACGAAAAAAGTGATCAAAAAAAGTTAAAAATGCAATACCACTTATTTAGTTGGCTTATTTCAATATTATGATAGAAAAATGTCATGCTTTAGAAAAGAACAGATGTTGTATTTGAGAGAAGAATCTTTACAAATAAAACAATCCTATTTCCTTAGTAATAGCCTTTCTGTTGAATTCCCTAACATCGTAATGATAATAGGAGACCTTTGCCATAATATATACAGCTCATAGTATTCACAAAAAATCAATAAATAGGTGTCAACAATTATAACGTTTTAAAAATAGCGAAGTACCTTTGAGATGTTCTTTAAATATTTATTGAGCTTCAAAGCATTCAACTTGTTTAATTCTTTTGAAACACGACGAGTGAACCTCCAAAACTTGGCATGTCTAAAAATGATTATTATTAGCTTTACACTGTTATTATGAGATATCTAATATTTCTTCCATTTTTGAACAAGAATTTTTTTAATGCAAAAAATCAAACAAATTAAATTCCATTTCTACTGTGTTAGCCATTTACATAAAGATTAAAAATATGATGACCTGTACGGAGCACTCATTTTATAGATCAATGCATCAAGTATTGCAACGGATTGTGGAGCAACGGAACTGGGATAAAGATCAATTAATTTATCAATGATCACCTAAAGCAAATAGTTTTGAAATACAAAATTATTTTAGTCAATGATAAAGGGTTTTAGAACCATTGATCATCCTAAAACTAAAAATTTTGAATCTGATCCGACTTGACCATGTCCCCTAATTTGACAAACATTGTTGACTAGTACATGTACCGCTTAAACTGAAAAATACAGGGAGACTATTGGCAATATGCTATGATGTCGGCAATACGTTATGATACGTTAATGAGTCCTAAATGATTGATGAAATAATCAAATAAAGCTAAATTGAAAATCAAATACAAATCTTACTTTTTCTTTAATAACAGTAGCGTCAAACTTTCTATTATTTGATTCGAAATTATGGACTGGTTGCGAGCAATATTTGTCCACCATCGCAAGCAATATCTCCTCTTCCAAACTTTGAAATAACTTCATTCTAAAGGGAGGAAAAACTATGCAATAAATTTTTTAATGCTTTATTTGCCACATGTATTTCATATATTTCTTTCGTTTATTACACATACTTCAATTGTTTCCAATTTAATTTGACAAATCCGTTCATAAAATTCTCGGCAAATCTAACTGCTTTATTCTGAAATTTCCTTATCTATTTTTTAAAATTTGCAGCCATAGTGTGAAAAGTGCAATGCTCCAAATATAACGCTGCTGTTGCACTCTTATATGCGCTTTGCACATTATATGCAAAAACTGCATGCAATACAATGATCTTACAACTATCAGACATATTTGATTATCAAGTAAACAACGAATGAAAGAAATATAATACATTCAAAAATTTATTTGTTTAAACATTTGAAAATAATTTAATCGCACAGCCATTCCGCTGATAAGTACCTAGAGTACTGAAAAATCAAACTTTTACCTGATTAAATTTTAAAATTTAAAAATGCCAATATCCATCATAGAAGTCACCCACCATTCTACACCATGCCTTAAACTAAGTTACCCCAAAAGTCTCGGTGTTTCTTAAAGGTAAAATAGACCAAATAATGTTCCGGGAGCAAATGAAAATCCCAAATCCCATTCCTTAAAATATTTTCTTAAATTGTTCGTCATCTCAAGCAATTAAATTGTGAATAAATTCGGAGACATTACAATAGGGGTCACCTTAATTTTACTGTAAATTGATAAATGAGCAAGAATGGTTGTATTATCACAACAATACTTTTTCGGATTTCCAAAAGTTCTCTTCAAATTGAAGACATTCTATAGTTTTCTGATACCTAAAAAGGTTTACCAATTCTTCCATAGACAAGGGCAATTAGAATAGGCTAAATGTCTCAGCAGTTTTGGAGACATTTAGATAGGGGTCATTAATTGATCAGCATTCGATTCTTTCCATTAACAAATCTCTTCCCGGATATCACATTGATAATAAAGTGATAAGAGATGGACAGATAACGAATAATTATTCATTTGAGTTAGATAGATAGCCTTTTAGTGATGCAAACGAAAATTATACCATTTCTTTCGTTGTCAAAGTAACATATACATGTCAAATATATCAAATACACATCACAAAACATGTCATGCACAGTCATGCACAGCGTAACATGACGTATGTTAATTCGGTAATATTTCGCCATTAACGAGAATAACAAATCGACATTTCTGTAAAATGCATTTTACGTTTCACAATCATTTCAAAATGTGTTGTTCTGATAATTAAATGATTAGCGGATAACTTGATTGTATTCTTGCGTGAGTTACAAAATGTTCAGTGATGAGATTTTACTGTTCATCCAAGTGGTTACAATTGTAATCATGAAACATGCAGAACCGTTGTCAATATCGACACTGTTGATTTACAAAAATCAATAGAAGGAAAAACAAAATTGTGAAATGCTACGATTAGTTATAATCAGATTGATAAATGAAATTTAATTATCAACAGTTAGTAAATTGTTAAATTTTAATTATTTTTATATTTTTACGAACTAAATGGTCACGATAGTAATCACATGCAAGTTATTAAATCAATTTTTTTACAAGATTATTAATTCTTTCAAAAAATTTATGTTTTTTTTCCGTTCAATTCTTCAACGATCAGAATCTATGCTAAATCAATATTTAAAAAGGAAAATATGATCACAAAATTCCATTCTTCACTTTCTTAATAAGCAAAGGAGCAATTTTGCTTAATTACGGCAATATTCTTTATGTAAATTATATCGAAATGCTGAAATATTTTCAACAAAACCTAATTTCTTGATACTTTTCCGAATATTTTATCTTTTCAAGTTTTCTCGGAAATTCTATTTCCATTAATCTAAATTCTTATTTCTTGTTAACTTTTTTGATTTCTGTTCCAATATTTGCTGCAATTTAATTATCCACTTTTTACGATTTTTAAAGGCATCTGTACAAAATCCGGAGATATTAGCGTGACATGACAGTCAAAGCAAATTATTCATCAGATTTGGAATCAATCACTGATATCGACAATCACAATATCATATAGGGATCCAAATATCAGTATATTTGGATTCCTAAACAATACAGATCATTATTTTCTTATTGTTTAT